TGAACACGCTGTGGTTTCAGGTGGGTGCCGGGGTGAGTCTCCCCGGCGTGGTGGCGGCCAAGTGCGGTGCTGAGGTGATCCTGTCCGACAGCGAGGAGCTGCCCCAGTGCCTGCGCAACTGCCGGAGAAGCTGCCTGATGAACCACCTGCCCCACGTACCGGTTATAGGGCTCACCTGGGGGCGGGTATCTCCAGAGCTGCTCTCTCTTGCTCCTGTGGACATTATTTTAGGGTCAGATGTCTTTTTTGACCCAAAAGGTACGTTAATGCTCTTGGGTATCTTTGTGACAAACTGCAAGGACTGGGAACACTGTCAAGAGATCAGGTGACAGCCTTTGTGCTGGTGGTGTGCTCTATCAAACTGGTCATTCTTGGGGTAATGGCAGTATTGAACCACAATAAATATCCCAGAGGGTGAGAGAATAGAAAATGGAGTAGATAACTGCTTAAGGCCATGCTGCTCAGGTCTCTCATACAGATGAGTTAGTTTTGTATTGATTTTTAATTGCCCTTTCATATAACAGGGCATATTTAACTGTACTTGGAATCCAGAGACTAACCAAGACTGCTTCATCTCCCCAAACTACACAGACTTTGAAGATATTTTAACTACAATTTACTTCTTGCTGGAAAAGAATCCACATGCTCAATTCTGGACTACTTATCAAGTCCGAAGGTAAACTTTTGCATATTTAAGGCTCAAATCTTAATTCCTGTCTTAGCTGTTAAGCAAGAGCATTAAACTTCTCAGACACACCACCACACGGATTCCAGTGAAGCTCCTCACAGGTTGTGTGAATCAGGCTGGTATTGGCCAAGTAAATCCTAGGGCTATCAGACAAAAACACCCAAACCAGAAAATAATCCAAGAACCACCAATTTACTGTTGACTAGAAAACTGTTACAAACTCCGTTTTGCGAACTCTTGTATTTAAGTTTGGTGACAGTCTCCTAGAATTACCACAGAAGTTATAACTTGGATTCTGTTTTCACACCCCGGTATTTCCTCCCCTCAGTGCGGACTGGTCTATTGAAGCTTTGCTCTGCAAATGGAAACTGAAGAACGTCCGCATTCCCTTACACTCATTCAGTGCAGACAAAGAGCACTTGGCCAGCTCTTCTCTTCCAGGAAGACATACGATTGAAATGATGATCATCTCACTAGCAAGATCAGATGGTACTTAAGTTTATTCCACTTGTTGGTTCCAATACAAGGTGACACGTAACTGTTTGCTGTAGCATGGATCTGCAGAAAACACTCCTGTTGACAGCAAACCCCATGCATGTTTTTGGGAAGCAGATCCCTTCAGCAGTAATTCTTAAAACATGCGTTGTAAAAATAAAGCTGTTTAATTGTTTAGCTATGGCTTTTGAGAAATTTGTGCTGCTCCTCCTCAAAGACCACATAATAGTTCAAAGAGTCAATTCCATTATGTAAGCCACTACACAACATAGCTTAACAACCTGACAATCTACAAGATCCAACTTAAATTCACAACTTCAGGTATGAAGAAAAGTTAACTGTGCTCTTTCAAGATAAAAAATATTCCCATAAGATCTGGTTCCGAGGACTGAAGCTCTTTCCCAGAGATTCACATACAGAAGCCAGCCCCTTTGTTTTTAACTGAATCTGTGTAGACTGCCACTAGCCATGCAGTCCCAGAACATACAAACTCCTCAAATTTGTAGAAAAGTACTTTTAATCCTCAATCAAGCCAGACTGCAAGTATTCAGATGTTTCCATTCCCATTTAACATACATGCATAAAGTTAACAAGGCATAACAATAACCCTTGACACGTGATGGTTTAAGTTACAATCTGTTTGGTATCCAAATCAAGAAAAAAAGAATCATCATCACCATAAGATGAGCTACCATCAAGCAGCAGCCTGTTGAGTCAGGGCAAACACACAGCAAACGCAATTAGTACTGCTCAGTGTGTATCTTCCATAACAACGTCCAACGGACCTGTTTGATTTCTGTGTTTATACTTGCCATACAACATTCAGGTTAGTCACAATACTAGTTAAGTTTGCCCGTAGTAATTTAAAAGCAACCCCAGTGGATAAAATTTATAAGCAGTAAAATGCATTCGGTTACTATATAGAAGTTAAACATTGACAGTATAATTGCAGAAATCTTTTCAAGCTAAAAATAAGCTGACTCAGACATTAAGTTGAGAAAAGTTAACACAGAAAAATGTTTAATATTAACTACAGAGACAGTGGGTATAGTACAGAATGTCTTAAGCAAAAGATACACCAATCAGTACTTACAAAGGAATGAACCATTTCTTGTCTTAACATTACATTTTTCATATGTAAGTTCATATATGTAGGTTGGTAAGTTTTACCATTCTGGAAAAAATAAGGTGTGTATATCATCAGCTAGATGTGCTCACTGTATGCTCCATTATTTTTACGCAAGGCCCGGGTGACTGGAAGTGCAGTTGTCAGGCATTTTAATTAACTGGACAGCCATTTGTTTCTGCACGACAAGGCATCGTTACACAGGAGCAATCAGGAGAAAACAGGAAACAGCCAAGCACTCTGCACTGCAACACGCCACCTTAACAGCTAACCAGCATTACTCAACTGCTACACAACTGCGCCTAGTGCACAAAAATACATAAGAGAAGAGATTAGAATTGAGTCTGATAAAACAATCCTTTCAAATATCAATTGTCACCTGAAAAGATTTCTACCAATTTGAATTTGAAGATACTATTTGAATTCAAAGTAAAAAAAAAAAAGAATTTACAGTAAATTTCAAATTGAAGTTTTGCAGAATTTTATTTAAGGAATGAAGACAAAATTGAGAATACTTTTTGACAGAGTTAGCTACTCAGCATATAATGGCTGCATGTTTCCTCAGTATGAAACTGGAGGCAGCAAGTTACCATCAGTTTAATTTCAAATAAAAGTCAGCACTATATAAACAAAAATGAAGTTTTACCTCAAATATCCAAGCCAATAATGAAATCGGTAGTCGTTCACTTCACTAAATTACAAGAAATTTGAATAACAGCAACAAAATGGCACATAAACTGTAAAATCTGCCACTTGAGGCGCAACTTAAACAAGTAAAAAGTTAGACAAAATGTTACAAAATAACCTTTTCAACAGCTGGTTGCTCGTGCCAGGGGTCTCTCCAAGGACTGAAGACTCAAGCGATCTTTTCCCCCCAAAGGCGTCCTTTATGTAGGTTCTCATTTATCTGATGCATCTAGGTTTGAAGAAAGAAAAGTTCAGCCAGGTTTCTACCTTGTCTCTCTTGGTTGTGTGGATGACTTCAGGTATACTTCTAGTTGTGTTTCAACTGGCTTTGCCTAATTTAAGTAAGTTTTAGGAATTTCCACAGTGTTCCACCTCCCCCCCCATGTGTTGCTTTATTTCAGAGGCCAAATGTAAAGTTCTGTCAAAGTATTTAGTTACAAAGAAGAGTAAGCATCAGGCTGTAGATCAAGCCACCATTAACTTCAATTCAGCCTGTTCAACGATAAATTATTAAAAGTTATGTAAAAGTTATAAAACTAGGACTTCTTCATAAAGACTTAACTAAACTCTAATTAGCATTCCAAACAGAAAGTGTGACTAATTTTGCTACAATTATCTAACTTCAGAGCTAGCTTAGGCCCTTTCCTTTTAAAAATAGGACCAAACAGTTTGAAGGGTTAAAGACACACTATCCTTTCCCCACCCGGTGTATCCTTAGATGCCTCTTCAAGATGTCGACTTGAGGAAAAACTAGTTTCCGTGGTTTTCTCGTTGCAAGGAATTTGCCACTTTTCTAGAACAGTTACCTCCAGTCAGTATAACGGCCACTGAACCGATCTTCCATTATAAAAGGATAGTGTATCTTTAACATTTAAAGACAAACCTGCTCCAATACACGCCCACAGAAACTGGTCCCTGGAGGATCAGCCAAATCAGTTAAAATCTGCAATACTGGCCAATATTCTTTTAGCAAACAGGAGACCGCAGCTTTAAAGGGGAAAATGCAGATGTTGGATAAATACAGTAAGAAATAGTCATTTTCATCATAGGTTGCGTCTCATACAATATTTTATTAAAACCAAGCGATTAATCTCTCAATAAAACATTTTCTCTGTAAAAAAAAAAATTCTCAGTAGAAAGCCCTTCGGTATTAATTTCCCTAAACCAATAACGAAAAAGCACTGCTCAAGAAAAAAAAGCTAACAATGTGCCCCGTTAGGATTCACTTGGTTCAGGCTAATAACACTCTAAGAACTACCCAACACCCCATCTAAGTGCTATAATAAAGTAACATGCAACGTGTGCCGATTCTGAGGTACATTACCATGTTCCTAGGAGGATACAGCTCCTTCTTCTTCCGGAGACTTGGGAGGGCTCTTAGACCTGGATCTAGAGTTGGATTCCCTCTTTGAGGCAGGGGGAGGGCTTCTAGATCTAGACCGGGATCTTGACCTGGACCGGGATCTGGAGACGGACGAGGACTTTGACTTGGATCTCCTGGCAGACCTGGACTTCGAGGTGGAGCGAGACCGAGAGCGTGTGCGAGATCGGGATTTGGATCGACTGTAACGGGACCGACTACGGGATCTAGAACGGCTCCTGCTTCTAGATCGGCTGCGACGGCGTCTTCTAGGGCTAAAACATACCAGGAAGGAAAAAAAACCGCGTATTAAAAGTTGAACGCGGGCGGCGCAACAGACTTCAGCAACTACTGCGGGACAGGGAGGGCGGAACGGGACCCACGTGGGCAAGAAAACGAGTGTTAAGAGGGCGCCATTGTTCAGAGTGAGTGGCCGGGGGCTAAAACTACTACAGGGTGAATCCCTTCCGCTCCGAGGAAACTCCACGTGCCTTTAGTACTAAACTCCTACACCCCTCTTCCAACTCCACCGCGAAACTCACTCGGAAAAGGAAACAAAACCGAGCGGTACAGACGCACGCCTAAGCCTTATTACTGAAGCTCCGCTGCGCCCCTCCACCCGGCCAGGCGCTCA